CCCGCATATCTTTTCTGTCCTTTTTCTAAACCTCAGATAGAGGCTTTGGTCTCCTATCATTGATCCTGTTTGTTCATTTTACTTTAACCACACAATGAGGTGCTCCCTTGATTAAACAATCTTTCCATTTCATTCACGACAACTGTTCTGATTTTCTTTTAGCATTTATGTTACATCACAGCAGCATAATCAGTAGTTCATAGGTTTTTTTATAGTTACCTAAATTGTCAGGAAATGTGATGTGCTATGACAAAATGGAGGTCATTTTTGGATTCAGCACAACAAAAAACATAAAGATTACGTGGAATAACCAAACAGCTCTTGAAATTTTTTTTTGCAGATCTGTGATTGATAAACTTTTACTATCATATAAACATTTTCAATGTTTGTAGATAATGCAACATACTAATTATAAAAAAACCTATGAACTACTGATTATGCTGCTGTGATGTAACGTAAATGCTAAAAGAAAATCAGAACAGTTGTCGTGAATGAAATGGAAAGATTGTTTAATCAAGGGAGCACCTCATTGTGTGGTTAAAGTAAAATGAACAAACAGGATCAATGATAGGAGACGCAAGCCTCTATCTGAGGTTTAGAAAAAGGACAGAAAAGATATGCGGGTTTCCCATATCCACTTCCCATATTGATATGCAACCATATTATTAAGAATTCAGGAATTGTTATTTTAGTATTAGGCTGAATCCCACTAAAGTTCTGCTTTAATTTTTGCAGACTTAGGATATTATATGATATATCACTTTTGCTGTCATACTCACTCTTGGAGGTCCTGGTCCTGGTCCAAGTCTGCTGTTGCTGCTGTCATGTCAAATTCAGAGTCATTGGAGATGGGCTCTTTCTCCCTAGCTGGGCTGGTAGTGCTGGTAAGATTGGCTGGGAGAAGAATGTCAGAATCAAGGCTGGAAGAGAGCTGTGAGGAACCAGTTGTGCTGATGCTCAAGTTGGAAGCTGTGAGTTTATCTGCCTGTTGACTTTTCGGGACAGGCAGGATGGCTGGGTGAGCTTCAATTTCATCAGAGCCAGAAGATTGTGAGAGAAAACCAAGTGTCTCCTTTCTTTGAGATTCCAGCCCCACAAGAGGATCCAACAGTTCCCAGGCAGGACAAAGGCCTGACAAGGATAAAGGTGTGATGGTCCACTCGTTCAATACTGCTGACTTATAGGAGAGGTCAAAAGCCAAAGAAGACAAGCCCTGCAAATAGCTGAGGAGAAATTCAACCTCCTCGGGATCCAGAAGCAGAGCAGGTGAATGGTAATATTCAGAGAGTTGAGACTTTTCATGAAGCAAGAGTTTTAGGTAACACTCCATCAGGCCATCATTCAGAGCCAGCCTCAACCATGCACGGCAACGCCCCACATCTGTATTGATGAAGACCAAGTTTTCCAGTTCAGAAATTATGTTTCTGAAAAAGAAGAAACATCCAGGGAGGGGGAAATACAACATCCATTAAAAGGACAGCTCCCAAAAACAAGAGAAAGCAGTTTTGGACAGTCGTACAAGTTGGGTTGGATGCATTATTGTCTGATGAAAACATCAAGAGGTAAAACGGTAAAGGAGTCCCTGTGGCTTTTACTCTACTAACGGTTGCCAACAATAGTGGGCAGAGCTTATCTTCCATTTGAACAGCTATGGAGCCAGTGCTTCCCAAAGACATTTCTGTCATCTTATGGCCAGCATGATGTCATGGAGCATTTTTCTTCCCACTGAAGTGGTACCTAGTTATCTACTCACATTTGCATGCTTTCGAATGGCTAAGTTGGAAAGAACTAGGGCAGACATGTCAAACACAAGGCCTGCGGGCCAAATCCAGCCCTTGATGTAGTTAGATCTGGCCAGAGGGGCCACCCTGGAGACAGCGAGGGGCCGGACCTTGCCACCTTGGCCCCGATCCATCCCTGGGTGCATGTCTCCATGGGCCAGATCTAAGGCTGATCCTGTTCCTGCCCAGATGGCTGCCACAAAGTTATAGTATAGCAGCACATAGAGCCCCAGCAGTGTTGCATCAAGCAACGGCATCTCCGCTGCCTCCTTGGTCTGCGCCAACCTGACCTCACAGTCCACAAAGCTTCCCTTTCACTGGGACTGCCCCTGCAGGGAAAAGCCACATCTATTGGCAACATGGGCCCTGGCTGCGCTGCCAAACTCACTTAGAAGCTTATGGAAAAGTTTTCCTGCACACAGAAATGCAAATGGTATGTGAATGCTTTCCTTTCCTGTGAGGGGAGTAGGGAGGGAGAAAAGAAGGAAAGACGGAGGAACTAAGATGGAGGACAGGCAGCAACGGCTGTAAAAAACTCTTCCAAAAGTAATGACATGTCCTGAAAATAAGGCCATGCCACATTTTTTAGTGGGCAAAAATATAAGCCCTCCCGCAAAAATAAGCCCCCTGGACAATCCCCCCCCCTCCAGCCAGGCAGAGTGCTGCTCACCAACCTAGCAGTATCCTGAAAGTGTCAAGCCACGGGAACCGGAGGGGGGCAAAGGAGCTCGTGTGTTTGATGCCTTTGGGATACTGCTAGGTTGGTGAGCGGTGCTGTGCCCAGCTGGAGAGGGGGGTTGCCGGGCAGCTACTCTCTTGCGAGCGGGCTCCCAAAGAACTGGGCAAAGCCTTAGAAGTGAACGGCTGTGTTGCGCTGTCGCAGCAGCACAACACAGCAGCCATGAAGCAACCACGCTCACCAGCAGCCACCCAGCAAACCCCCTTTCCAGCTGGGCACAGCGCCATTCACTGACCTAGGGGTATAGCCAAGCTGCGTGAGTGCCTGTTTGCCGCTGCCTGCTTGGCTCCTTTGAAAAGCCAATGAATGGCGCTCTGCATGGCTGGAGGCTCCCGCTCGTGCGCCTCTCAGACTCACGATGCTCTGGCCCAGCTTTCCCTGCAGAGTCAGGGCACCTCCGCTGCCGCCGCCATCCCAGCATGGCTTTTTTGGCAGACTCCAAACTAAATCTCCCGGCAGTGGCTGCTCTGGGTGTACGCTCTATGGTTATGGACTGGATGCCGGCAGAGCATACTCCCAGAGCGTACAACCATAGAGCGTATGCCCAGAGCAGCCACTTCTGGAAGACTTGGTTTGGAAGCCGCCAAAAGAGCTTTGGGATGGCGGCAGTAACAGCAGAGGAGCTGTGGTTCTGCAGGGAGAGCTGGGCCAGGGTATCGTGAAGTTGGGAGGCGCAGAAGTGGGAGCAAAACAGCCGCTCATGCAACCCCCCTCTCCAGCCTTGCAGAGCGCCATTCACTGGCATTTTGAAGGTGCCAAGCCGCGGGAGCTGGGGGGTGGCGAAGAGCCACTCACGTGGCTTGGTGATACCCCCTAGGTCAGTGAATGGCACTGTGCCCGGCTGGAAAGGGGGTTTGCCGGGTGGCTGCTCGTGAGTGTGGTCGCTTCATGGCTGCTGTATTGCGCTGCTGAAATTGCGCAACCCAGCCGTTCGCCCGAGGCTGTGCCCAGCTTTTTGGGAGCCCGCTCACAAGAGAGCAACCGCCCAGCAACCCCAAAACAATAAGCCCCCCCTGATAATAAGGCCCAAGTCATATTTTGTGGGTCAAAAGAAAATAAGACCGTATCTTATTTTCAGGGAAACACGGTATATACATACATACATACATA